CCGTTCAGGCCTTAATGCTCACCCTGGAGGCGCATTCACAGATTACGGAGGGAATTGAGTATTACCTCCACTCTAATGCTCCTTAACCTATCCATGAGTAGTACATATTTTATTTTTCACGGTAAGTTTTATGAACAGATAAAGGGGCTTGCAATGGGTTCTAGCTTAGCTCCAATTTTGGCTACATGGCTAAGTTTGAGGAATGTTTAATGCAAATCGTAATTCAAACTCTGAAATTGTGTGTTGGATATATGGATGATTATTTTGCGATCTGGCAGTATGGCAAAGACGGTTTAGACAGTTTCCTATTTTCACTTAACAAGCATGAAAGAAATATGAAATTATAAGAAAATTGGAAATTGCCTTTTATGGCCGTTATGGTTATTAGGGAAGATGGTAAACTAGGCAGAGTTTTTTGAAAGAAGCCAGCATATGCTGATTTGGTTCTTAATTTTCTTTCTAACCATAGTCACAAAACTAAGGTTGGAATTTTAAATCAATGATCATTATGCGTCTGTTGCTTTGAGATGAAAATCATCTGACTAGAGTTAGAAGACTCAAATTTTATTCCTGGAGAATAATTATCCTTTAGGCTTAATTGATAATATATCTTTAATGAATAATAAATTTTTAGGCGAAAACTATTTGGTCAGAGCGAGGCAAGCCGAGACCCTTTCTCATGTTCTAATCTTGTCGTCACGTTTTCTTTCCAAGAAGATAAAGACAGTTTTCAAAGAAACTGACATTTTTTGATTATACTTTCTTTTAGAGAGAACTATGACACACTATCAAGGTCCGGCTTTTATAAGATTATGTACTCCTGTGGTCGATGTTGGCGAGCCTTGTCGATCAATCTGCCAAAGATTAGCGGAGTACAAAAGTGCTTATAAATGGATCTGGGCCTAACGGTCATAAATAGCGGAATACATGACGGAGTCTGGGTATAAGATAGAATAGTCTCTTTCGCGGAGGTTGGCTGATTATGGTATGTCTACTACGAAACGCTAGTTAAGAGGTTATTGAAATTAATAGATTAGGGAATACGTTGAATGTGAGTAATGGTGGTACAAAGTTGAGTAAGAATTACTTATGCCTGATTGAATGAAAGACAGGGTGTTGAGCCGCTGTCCAAAGGAATACGACTCAATTTGTCAGCTTAGTTATGGCTCTAACCAAATTAACACTCATTTAACAGGCATGGCAAGCTAATAAACCAAAACAGACGTGCAGGAATACGCAATCCCAGCCATGATTCGCCTTCGGTCATTTAACCTTAATATCCCAGACTAACGGGTTTGAACTGGTTGTTTCATAACCTGAGTTTCACGTGTATATGCTTACAATTTATCAGTTCAACCAGGATTATTTACGGACTAACGCAGTCTTGGTCATCCATTTTTGATTGGGTAATTAAGCCAGGATGATCAGGTGATGATGCTAGGCCTTTTTACTAATTACTCTGAGTTATCGCCGACTTTGCATACAGACGTTAGCATATATACACACAGGCATACTCGAGTATAAGTGAATTAACCAAACCTTTCTATAGCCATCTATATATTTTTTTCACAATGAGCATATATAGCATATAGAAAAAGATCAGCCGGTCTTATTGCCTTAGTGTTAACTTGAGGATTTTACAGGAATGAGTCCCAGCTCTGACGATGTTCGTCATGTCACATGACTAACGTAAGCTCAGCCCATCTTCGCCCGAAACTTCGGAGTATACCTCGTGGACTGCATCAACCTGAAAGTCGTATTACCGCCAATACAACTCGAATCAGCCGACGTCTTCTTGTGAGATTGACCTAAGAATCTCTTCACAATGTACTTCCATACGAAATGAAATTCTTTAAATCAATCTTAGGGCGTCATATTATTGTTGCCGGCTGATTACTAACAGCGATTCATAAGCATTGTTTTGCTCTTAAGCAAAATTTAGATTCATATTAATCTACACTGAAAATGGATTATTTTTCGATTAAATACAATCTTTTTTTTATTATGGGCTCATATTGTTCATCTAGTGCAAGATATGGTATTCCAATTGCAGCGCTTCATTAATGCAATGGCCGTCTATCATGAACGTTGCTATGAAGCGATGTGTGAAGCCAATATTTTCCCTATCGAGATGGACCTTTCGCAAAACGCGTTTGCCTACACTCCTGAACAGATTAATACTGGACATTCGGAAGATGAGGATAAGCAATGCAGGGAGATTGGAGATGACGCTGGTCTGGATAGACCGGATGGACTCGATAGTGGAGACGAGGTGAATGTTCTGAAAGAGGAAGCCGCCCAAGCACGTCAGCGGCGGCTTTGTCAAAGCAGTCGGGATCAACGGCCGCAAGTACCAAGTATTAAAGACGAGGAACAGCTGCTTGATCTCAGTGAACTCGATCTCACGGGCACTGCTACTACTGGCTTAGAGTCTGCTCCACAACAGGACTATGCGCAGCTTATTCCAATGATCCAAATGGATGACTTCCCTGTGACACAGGCTAATTTATTCAGTATAGGAGCTAGCCAAATTCCAGGTTACCTATCGGATGTACCCATCCTTGGAAATGATGCTGGACAGACTGATCAAACTTCTTCCTCGAATCACTTCAAGCAGGGCAGTGTAGACATTTGGAACGA